CCTCCATACGAGCAGCGCGCCACTAGCAATAATATATGCGTCTCACGCACACGCAGAGGCGCGTATATGTGTATATACAATATATATTTACAATTTACATATATATATATATATATATATATATGCACACATATCCATATACAAACTCAACTGCAAGACTATGTGTCTACGCCGACATCCTTGCTTCTGAGCATCGAATCTGCAAGGCATCCCTTGTCAGATAGGAACTGGCAGTGGCACAAATGGACTTGCATACAAAGCAGCTGTCGGCTGCGTAGAGGCAGCAGCGTGAGCAGCAGGCTAGCATGTAGTAACAGCTTGTAGAACTAACATACGGAGGTAGAAATGTACGGTGATGCAGGAGCTGCAGCAGCAACAGCCGCTCCAGAGCAGCAGCAGCTGCAGCAGCAGCGGCAGCAGAAGCGCTGCGGATGGGAGAAGCAGCAGTACCAGCAGCAGGGTAACAGTATGCAGCTGCAGCGTCAAGGTGTAATGTAGTGATCCACATGTGCTTCACTGTGGAGCAGCAGCGGCAGCAGCTGAGGGTCTGCGATTCTGACAGCGGCAGCAGCAGAGGTCTGCAGCCTCAACAGCAGCAGCAGCAGCAGCAAAGCATGTAGCTGTAACAGCAGCAGCAGAGGTCTGTCCGCGCCGCTAACAGCAGCAGCAGCACCACGGGTTGGCAGCCACAGCAGCGGCAGTACAGGTCCACTACTCAACAGCAGCAGCAGCCGCAGCAGAAGCCTGCGGCTACAGCAGCAGCAGCAACGGGACAATACAAAGGTCCACAACACCACAACAGCAGCAGCAGCAGAACTCTGCAGCTCATGCAACTGCAGCAGCAGCAACACCAGCGCAAGAATACTATGTGGTGTGTGTCTACTGTGTAGCATCTTCTTTCCTCCTCCGCTGTCCCCTTAGAGGTGAGTTTTTGTTATCGCAGCCACGGCGGCAGCATGTGTGAGTCGTCTACTTTTGGAGACAAAAGAAAAACAAAAAGAAGAAGAGGTAAAGGAGTACCTTTGTAATTCTACGTGTTTCAATTGCACTTTTTCATTCTTGGTCAAGCACCTTTTTATTTGCAACCGCTTACCAGATAGGTCAAGACACACCTAGATACATATATATATATATATATATATATATATATATATACGCGTATAGGGGGAAAGCGATACGCATATATATAGATACATATATATATACATATATATATATATATATATATATATATGTGTATGTAGCAGTTCTGTACCGACTAAGGTGTGGCAAAGGCAGCAATGATGCTTTACGACTGCCGCAGCGGCAACAGCAGCACACTAGAGCTAGCAGTAGCAGTAGCCGCAGCAGCAATAGTGGTAGCTATAGCAGAAGCAGTAATACCAGCGTATGTAGGAGCTGTAGCAGGATCAGTAACCGCAGCAGCAGCAGCAATAACAGCACCGGCAGCAACGATAACAGCAGCAGCAGGAGGGGAGCAGCAGCAGCAGCAGCAGCGGCAGAAGCCCCTCATTACCACTCCCGTACCAGGTCGGGCAGGGGCAACATCAGCAGCAGGGCCAACGGCATTAGCAGCAGTAGCAGAAGGAGCGGCAGTGGAAGCACGAGCAGTACAAGCAGCAGCAGCAGCAGCAGTGTAGTAGTAGCGGCAGTGGCAGCAGGAGCAGCAGCAGCAGCGGCAGCAGCAGCGGCAGCGGCAGCAGTAGCCGCAGCGACAGCAGTAGCAGCAGCGACCGCAGCAAAGCAGCAGCACTACGAGCAGCGACCGCAGTAGCAGCAGCAAGAGAAGCAGCAACAGCAGCAGCAATAGCAGCAACAACAGCAACAGCAGTAGTAGCCGCGACTTCTTTCTGCAGCGGGTTTGTGTGACCTAGGCCACCCATGTCGTCATCATATAATATTGTTTGGTCCCTTTCCCATCCGTCTTCCTTTATCCTCTTCGGCTCCACCTAGATAAACGCACTACATATATATATATATATATACATATGTACATACGTGTGTATAAAGTTCATGTACATATATAGAGATATATGTATATATGTATATGCATGTATAAATGTGTGTACCTTATTCTGTTCGGACCCCGCCTAGCTAACCGCATTATCAACGTACACGTACATATGTGTGTATACATGTTTATGTAGACATATCTACTATATATATATATGTATATATATGTGTGTATACATGTTTATGTAGACATATCTACGTATATATATATGTATATGTATATATATGTAAATATATACACGTATGTGTATATATATGTGGGTACACGAATTTATACAGAGTTCTAGCGACGGACAACCAGCCACGGGTGGCGTAGGAGTGACCGCGCATGCATCACGGGGACACCACATCGTCTCCAGCCGTGAACGAGAGTCAGCACCGGCAACAGCGGGTAGCAGCAACAGCAGCAGCAGCGACAGCAGCAGCAGCAGCGACAGCCAGCAGCAGCAACAGCGGCAGCAGCAGCAGCAGCAACAGCGGCAGCAGCAGCAAAACAGCAGCAGCAACAACAACAGCAGCAGCAGCAGCAAACAGCAGCAGCAGCAGCAACAGCAACGGCAGCAGCAGCGGCAGGAGCAGCAGCAGCAGCAAGCGCAACAGCAGCAGCAAGCAGCAACAACAACAGCAACATTATTTTTCGATAGCATCCGGTTCTTCTTTTTATGTTACTGAGTTGCTACTGCTGCTCTTGCTGCCTTCAAGTCTTTCACGTATGATGACGGTTTCTTCAGACTGACAGCAGCAGCAGCAGCGGCAGCCCCATCTGCAACGGCAGCAGCAGGGGCAAGCCCATCCGCAGCAGCAGCAGCAGCAGCAGCAGCAGCAGCGTGCGTCTGTCGCCAGCGGCCACACCACAACTACTGTGTGAGAGTACTAGCAGCAGCAGTACTAACATGCACAGAGAGGAAAATTGTATGGTGGGAGCGCTGGAGATCCAGAGACACTAACGTAACCAATACATCACTATGAGCATACATATATATATGTGCGCAAGTGAGAGAGTAACGCGAATAGTGTCATATTCTAGCTATACATACATATATATATATATATATATATAGATAGATGTATATGTATATGTATACTCGCACATACATACAGTTGTAGTCTACTGTCTTGAAGAAAAGGAAGGAGCAAAAGTGGCGCTACTACTTGGATATGTGTACATACAGTAGTAGTTCGTTGCCTTAAAGGAAAGAAAGGAACACAAGTGGCGCTACAACATAGATTATATATATACATATATATATATATATAGATATATATATATATATATGTATACATACAGTTGTAGTCTATTGGCCTGAAGGAAAGAAAAAAAAGGAGCACGAGTAGCGCTACTAGATACGAAGGAAAAGTAGCAGAGTAGCGCGTGGTACAACGGGGGCACATTACGACTACTATTTACTACTACTTAACAGGACTAAGCAAAATTATATGTTGTACAGACCCGCCACATATTAACATATATATATATATATATGTAGGCAGAGTAGCGGGGCACCTGCGCATACGTATATATACATACACCTATCTGAATACTTATGTACCTATGTATTAAAATACATATGTAGGCATATTATTCATATATGTATCTGGATTTTTTAGTATATATGTATATAAATACATATATATGCCATTTTGTTCATATATACGCATAGTATACATATACATTCGATGATGTGATGCTGCATATAGTAGAAGTAGTAGTAGCAGTAGAAATAGTAGTAGTACAGGTGTGTGCTGTTTGTGGTTCACATACACCACCTGCGTACTGCCTGTCTTTTTTCTTTTTTTTTCTCTTCCTTCCTGCTCTTCGTTCCTTCCGCATCACGCCCTCTGCAAAAGCTGCAGCAGCACTCTTCTTTGAAGAGCAGTACTTCTTCCCTTTTCCTCTGTGTTATTCTCATATTTCTATTTGATATTCTTCTCCTCATTTTCCTTATCCTTTTCTGTCTCCTCCTCCTGTACTCCTCCTCCTACTGGCCCGTGCTGCTGCTTTTTCTCTTCGCCTTCTCCTCCTCCTCCTCCTCCTCCTCATTCTCCTTATCCTTCTCTGTTTCCTCTCTACTGTCCTCCTCCTCGTACTGGCCCGTGCTGCTGCTTTTTTCTCTTCGCCTTTTCCTCCTCCTCCTCCTCCTCCTTCTCCTCCTCTTCCTTCTCCTCCTTCTCCTCCTCTTCCTTCTCCTCCTGCTCGTGCTCCTCGTCCTCCTCCTCCCCGTCCGCGTCTCCGTTTTCTCGTCATCTTCCTCCTCTTCGTAGTCCTCCTCGTCTTCCTCCTCCTTTTCCTCGTACCCCTCCTCCTCTTCCTTTCTAAACGTGGCATCTGCTTATCAGATTGACCCGACCTTGGTCTTAATAAATCAAGCAGCTTGTCTGCCTCCTCCTCCTTCTCTTCCTCCTCCTCTTCCCCTCTTCCTCCTCCCCCTCCTCCTCCTCCTGCACCTGCTCGTCCTCCTCATTCTCCTCCTCGTCCTCCTTCTCCTCGTCCTCGTCCTCCTCCTTTTCCTTGTCGTCTTCTTCCCCCTCCCTCCTCCTTCTCATCCTCCTCGGCCTCCCCTCCTCCTCCTCCTCTTCCTCCTCGCCCTCCTCCTCGTCCTTTTTCTCCTCGTCGTCTTCCTCGTCCTCCTTTTCCTCCTCCTCCTCCTCCTCCTCCTCCTCCTCCTCCTCTTCCTCCTCCTCCCCCTCTCCTCGTCCTCCTCCTCCTACCCCTCTCCTCCTCCTCCTCATCCTCCTCCTCCTCCTCGTCTTCCTCGTCCTCCTTCTCCTCCTCCTCCTCGTCTTCCTCGTCCTCCTTTTTCCCTCCTCCTCCTCCTCCTCCTCCCCCCCTCTCCTGCTCCTTCTCCTCCGCCTCCTGCCTCTCGTCCTCCTGCTACTGCCCCGTACTGCTGCTCCTTCTCTTCGTCTTTTCCTCCTCCTCCTCCTCCTCCTCCTCTCCTCCTCCTCCTCCTCCTCCTTTGCTGCTCCTACTTCTCCTCCTCCTCTACTGCTCCTGCTGCTCCTCCTGCTCTTCCTCCTCCTCCTCCTCCTCCTTTTCCTGCTCCTCCACTTCCTGCTCCACTTTTTTGTCTTTTCTTGAGTGGTAGCGTGTGTGTGTGTCAGCATGATGGAGCAGGTGCGTCGTGAGATAGCGCGTTTGTTTAACGCGCGTTGGCGGTGGGTGGCCGGGCGTACGGGGCAGCTGCGGCTGCAGGCGGGGAAGAGTGTGACGGAGCGGCGGCTCAGCGGCGACTACTCTGCCGACTACGGCTCCGCGCCTCCTGCCGCTTTTCCTGCTGCTGCTGCTGCTGCGGCTGCTGCTGCTGCTTTTCCTGCTGCTGCTCGTACTCGCGATATACTGGAGTTTGAACCGACTCCTGACTTCAGGGGAGTACTGAGACGGGCAATAGGCAACCTCTGCTATCCACTCTGGTTCAAACTTAGTAGGGGGCCCATGGAGAGGTGGAATGTCGCCCACTTCGTCAAATCACTCAGAGATCACGGTAGGCACACATTCATCATCCATGCCCAACAAAGCTGCTGCGCCTGCTGCTGCTGCTGCTGCAGAAACGCCAGGGACAAAGAGCAAGAGCAGCAGCAGCAGCAGCAGAAACAGCAGCAGCAGAAACAGCATCAGCAGAAACAGCATCAGCAGAAACAGCAGCAGCAGAAACAGCAGCAGCAGAAACAGCAGCAGCAGGAACAGCAGCAGTAATAGCACCAAGAACAACAGCGGCAAAGCGCCGAAAGCACAAGCAGCAGCAACAGCAGCAACAACCGCAACAGGTGCAGTTGCTGCAGCAGCAGCAGCCGCAAGAGCACCAACAGGTGCAGCAGCTGCTGCAGCAGCAGCAGCAACAGCGTAAACAGCTGCTGCAACAGCGGCACAGCTGCTGCAGTAGCAGCAGCAGCAGTTACAGCTCTTACGCAGTAGTAGTTGTAGTAGTAGTAGTTGTTGTTGTAGCAGCAGTATCGTGGTAGACGTGAGCGCCTTCGTTGACAGGTGGCGGGGCCACCTCGCCGTCCGCCCAGACACTTCGGAGAACACGGCTGACGCATTCATGCTAAAGGTGCTGCAGCAGCACCAGCAACAGCGGCGACAACAGCAGCAGCAGCAGCAATAGCGGCAGCAGCAGCAACAGCGGCAGCAGCAGCAACAGCGGCAGCAGCAGAAGTAGCAGCGGCTGCCACTGGTGCTACCGCTGCTGCTGCTGCTGCTGCTGTCACCGGTGTCCCTGCTGCTGCTGCTGCCGCTGCTGTCATTGGTGTCCCTGCTGCTGCTCTTGTTGCATTGGTGTCCCTGCTGCTGCTGCTTTCAGTGGTGTTCTGGTTGCTGCTGCTGCTGCTGCTGACATTGATGTTCCGGCTGCTGCTGCTCTCAGTGATATTCCTGTTCCTGCTGCTGTCACTGGTGTCCCTGCTGCTGCTGCTGCTGCTTTGATTGGGGCACCTCCTGCTGCTGCTGCTGTCGTTGGTGACGCTGCTGCTCCTGCTGCCGCTGCGGTCCTTGGTGCTCGTGCTGATGCTGCTGCTGCTGCTGCTGTTACCGCTGCTCTTGCTGCTGCTACTGCTGCTGTCTTTGATGCTCTTGCTGCTGCTGCAGTTGCTGCTGTCGTCATCAGCGCTCTTGCTGCTGCTCCTGCTGTCCGTGGTGCTCTTGCTGGTGCTGCTGCTGCCGCTGGTGTCGTTGATGTTCGTGCTGCTGCTGCTGTCGTCATTGATGTTGCTGCTGCTGCTGCTTCTTCTTCTTCTGCCGTAATCGCTGTTGCTGTGACTACTACTGCGTGCAGGTCTGATGTACGACGATCTATATGACGAAATTGACCCAATCATATCAAGAGCGGTAGAGCTGCTGCCTCTAGATATTATGACAGGAAGATATAGACGCATCATGAGAGCTACTCTATTAATCATCTGCGCCTCACTCTGCCTCTTCATGGTGAGAAAAAAGAAGACACAAAAAGAGAAAAAGATGCGGAAGCTGCCGACAAATAGCAGCAAGGAAAGCAGTATAATATTCACGGGTGTAGTGGTAGGAGCAGCAGCACAAGAGCTATATTATATATATATATATATATATATATATATATATATAGATGTAGATGGATAGACAGACAGATATACATATGTATACGTACATATACATATATATTCGATGTTCGATGATTTACATGACGACGCTGAGGTAGTCATAGGAAAAGCGGTGGAGATGCTGCCTGTAGGTATTGCTACAGGAAGGTATAGACGCACTATGAGAGCTACCCATATTGATCATCTGTGCCTCGCTTTGCCTACTCATGGGAGAAAAAAAAAGGAAGAAACAGAGAAGAAGAAGCGAACTCCGCTGACGAATAACAGCAAGGTAAGCAGTACTAATAACGGGAGTAGTGGTAGCAACAGCAGTGGAAGAGGTACGTATATATATATATATATATATATATATATATATATACGTGTATCTCTGCCTGCCTCTTCATCGTAGGAGGAAGAGAGGAAGAAAACGAAAATCTAGAGGAACACGTGAAATAGACGCAACACTGATACCAGGTCCAGTTATAAAAGCAGCAGCAGCAGCAGGTGAGCATAAATATACACATATACATGCATATATACATTTATATATATATATATATATATATATATATACATATGTCTATCTGTATATACGTCTTGTGAAACTGCGCCTCTTGACCAGTCACGACCTCCGTGATTACTTGATAAAAAAAGAGAAAACTGAGAGGCAGAAATAGCAGCAATAGCAGCAGTAGCAATAGCAGTGGCAGCAGTAGCAGGA